TGACTCCGTCACTGACGCTGAAGAATGGAGAGCGACATTTCGCGGATGTTATTATTGCCGTCGACGGTACGACCAGATATTCACCTTCCCAACCACAGAGCAAACCAAGTGTGCTAACATGGCCTTCCGCCCTTCTAGGCATCAAGTCACGGGCACGGGAGCTGGTGCTCGGGTTCGACGACAAGCCCAAGTCGTCCGGGTACGCGTGCTTCCGGGCGTTCTTCAAGGGCGACAAGCTGAAGGGCGACCCCCTGACGGCCGAGTTTGTCGAGAACGAGTGCGTCAACATCTGGATCGGCAAGGACATGCACGTGGTGCAGAACACGCTGCGCGGCGGGGACGAGTTCAACTGGATCCTCACGCACAAGGACACGGCCGACATCCAGGAGTCGTGGTCGCAGCCGGGTGACATGGATGAGGTGCGCCGGCTGGTGACGACGCTGGACCCGCGCATCGCCGCCGCCATCCGCAAGACTGACGAGTGTCTGGACTGGAAGATCTGCTACCGCGACCCGATCCCGACGTGGGTCAGCAAGAACCACCGCGTCGCCCTGGTCGGCGACTGCTGCCATCCGCATCTGCCCACGAGCGCTCAAGGCGCCAGTCAAGCGACCGAGAGCGCGGCCGTGCTGGCACAGTGCCTCCTCCTGGCTGGAAGGGATAACATTCCGTTGGCGGTAAGCTGGGCTTTTTCTTGTTTCCTGCCGCCTTCCCCAATTCCCTGACGTGATTGATCATCCATTATTTGCGTGTCCCACCCCTGATGTCTCTCCCCATACCGTTTCCGTGACACTCTTTGTTATACACTACTGACCCTTGTGCCCTGGGCACGCACAGACCCGCGTCTACGAAAAGATCCGCTTCCCCCGTGTGCGCCGTGCACAGACCAACGGCGAAGACCTCCGCGACCGATGGCACACGGCGCTGGACCGGATAGGCGACGGCGACGAGATTGACCGGGACTCCATTTTGATAAAGGTATGTCATGTACCTCTGTTTACGCAGTTTGTCCGTATTCATCTGGTATTGCTTCCCATGCTTGATTCCAATTTCTCACATGTCTCTGACTAGAACAACGTGCTTTACGACTACGACGCCGAAGCGGATACGCGCAAGCGATGGGCCGAGATGGCCGCGCTGGTGGGCGAGGAGCTGCGCACGGGCAAGATCTCGCCGCTGTGCTGATTTTCCTGTGAATTGTCGATGGATTATGTCCGGGGTTTGTTATGTTTTGGTCCATTTGTAACGCAAATTCATGCCGTGGTTTGTGGAGATGAGGTATGACCCGCTTTGGACTTGCACGTGCTCTCGCAATGATCCCATGGCGTCTGATGTATTTTGGAGTGGTCAAGCAGGGGTAACAACAAGAAGTAGAGGACGAGGATGAGGACGACTAGGACTTGCGGTCAGAGAGTAGTAGAGAGCAGAGAGGAGGTCGAGCAGTCCGAGACAGAGTGTCCGACGGACTGACGCTGTCGACTTGTCTGTACCAATCTATATATCCAGGCTGTATCTGATCTTGATCTTCATCTTGCTTGCCCTCTCTTCGCCAATTTGTCTCCTGCTAGTGGACTTGCACCCTTCCATAGTTACAGTACTTTGGCGACTTATCATGGTCTCCCTCGTCCTCGAGTACGGGATTGATTCATCGACACTGCCTCCTCCCCTGAACACACAAATTCTCTTGTCACCCAAAGTCGATTAATTCCTCCACCTCCATCTTTTCAACTAGCTAAAGCTACCTACCCACCCACTTTTAGCCAGCTCTCTCACTCAGAGGTCTCTCAGAGAGGCTACCCATCTACCTTTCTGCCTACGACGGTATCTATCTACCCGTCCATCCACCTCTCTGGATCCTGTCCCGTGACAAGTCTACAACTTCGGCACGACCCCATCGTTTAACAAATCCCTGCGATCGCCATCCAGAATCTCCCACCCTTTACCTCTGAAGCGTTTGCCCCAAATGCCATTGCGCCCTGGAGCCAGGACACTGTTCGGGTCGAGGGCGTCCTTGATGGTCTCGTTGAAGCGACGCAGCGCGCCGCCCCCCCAGCTGTACGTCTCGGCGACCTGGTCGGCGAAGAGGAGGTGGGTGCGGTACTCGCCGTAGCCCTCGCGGGCGGCGGCGCGGATCATGTCGCGCATGAGGGCGGTGGCGCGGGTCTTTGCGTCGCGGTCGGCGCGGTCGTAGACGATGTTGGCGATGTAGTGCATCTCGCGGCCGGCGACGCACATGGTGGGGAAGACGTCGAAGCCCCAGCGGGCGTGGAGCGCCGTGATGGTGCGGTGCAGCAGGGCCGCGTCCTTGCCCCGCGTCGGCGAGATGGGCGAGAAGAACAGGTGCGCCGCGTTGGGCACCCAGTTGAGCCAGTCGAGTTCCTTGAGCACCGGCACCCCGCTGCACACCTGCACCCGCGAGTGGAGGTAGTGGTCCCCAGGGACGGAGGAGGGGAGGAGGAACTTGCTGCCGGGGATCTGCCCGAACGCGGCTTTGATGGTGTCCAGCTGCGCCGCCACCGACGCCGCGTCGTCGCCGTACTGCGTCCCGTAAAACACCCACGAGCAGTCCCCGCAGGGCAGTTTCGCGGCGTGTTGGCGAATCACCTCGCGGGGCATGGGTCCTTTCTTCCCGGCATCATACCAATACGACCGGGGCTTCCCCGTCACGGCCAACTCCTGAATAACATGCCTCAGCTGGGGGATGTTGCCCAGCACGCGCCGCTGGGCGAGGGGCCGGATGATCTCGACGATGCGCTCCAGGTCGTCCTCGCGCGGGAACGTTATCATGTACGACTGGTGGTGGCGGACCGCGGGCATCAGCCAGAAGCCCATCTTGGTCACGATCCCATAGTTGCTCTGGCTGAAGATGCCGTCGACGTAGGGGCCGTAGGCGGCCTGGAACGACTGCCACGTCGGGTTGTCGGCGCCGTTGGGGCCGGGCATCGCCCCCATGCCCGTCCGCAGGAGCTCGCCCGTCGGCAGCACCAGTTCCATGCCGCAGTGGTTGGCGAAGTGGTCGCCGTAGGGGGTGTATCTGGCGAGGGAGAGGTTAGTTAGGGTTTTGTTTGATAACAAGTCTTCCTCGTCAGGAGGAGTGAAAGAATGAATACGTACCCAACACCCCGATCGATCGCATTCCCCAGGACACTCCCACCCCCGAGATCAGGACAATCGATCCAGAGCGGCAACCCCCTGCGCTGCACCTCCTCGTACAGGGCGAAATACGACACGCCAGGCTCGACCACACACGAGGCATTGTCCCCGTCCACATTGAGGATGCGGTTCATGCGCCGGCCGAGATCGATGACGACGGAGCCAGGAACCCGGGGCGCCGCGCCGCCGTACCCGATGTTGCGGCCCATGGAGATCGGGTAGATGGGGATCTTGTGGGTGTTGGCCCAGCGCACCACGCTCTGCACCTGCGCCGTGTCGCCCGGGTACACGACGGCGCTGCAGACGAGTTCGTCCTGCTCGGCGATGTGGTATGCGTCGTGGGTGTTGCTGCCCCTACTCAGTTTCCATACAATACACACACACACACACACACACGATAATAGAAGAAAAAAATAAAGAGAGAGAGAATGGACAAAACGTACGGATGCTCCATGTACCACCCGTCGACCAACGGGCCGTCGTTGACCTGGACATTCTCGTCGCCCAGCTGCCCCTTCAACTCGGCCACAGCTGCGTCAAAGGTCTCCTTGCTCACGTCCGGCGGGAGCACCACTGCCCTCCTCCGAGCCACGCTGTCTGGGAGCGTCTTTTGCGAATACAGCCTCGCCTTCGCGTCAATGGCTTCCTGGGCCAGTCTTCTGGGGACACCGCTGTATCGCGTTGCGAGGTCTGGGATGGAACCACCACCCACAGAGGACGAGGCTGAGTCGGCCATTTCCTGTGATTTGTTCCTCTGAGAAGCGACGATCCTTCAGGTAACAAGGGGGGCAAGACGGGGTCAAAAAGGACGCTGGACTCGTTGGTGGTCACAGCTAAACGGCAAAAGGTCCATGTTTAGAACTACTTGAACGGGCAACTGCATTTGCCCCACGACAATAATATTATATTTCAAAGGGTTGGAAGCATCTCTAGGAAACTGCCAGGCCAAAGCTGCAGCTCCGCAAGCCCCTCATTTTCCCAATCTAGCTGGTGGACGCGGGTGGTCGCTGGTGGTGGTGGTCCCTATCCGAGGGTGTGGATACAAGGATGGATGGGTATTTTCCCCATGGGCTGGACGGTCCTCAGAAAGCTCTCCCACACAAAACAATGCTGATGCAAGCTTGTCGAGCACTTCTTGGCCGCGCCAGAATTCCGAGGGTAATTGCGCGAATGCGAACTGCCGTGGTGTCGTACCCAGCCTCGTGCCGGAACCCAACAAGCCTTTCAGGCTGGCTTTCCTGACCGTGGAGATGTTTCTCTGTTCCAGGGGTCCTTTTCCCACGTTTACTCTGCCACTAGTCGAGCCACCTAGGGTCGCATTAAGAGGTGCATTCGCAGCACAATCAACACATTCAAGCCGGGTGCCCAGATATTGTCCATAGGGTAATGCCCTCGGCTCTTGCAGCATTCGAGAGTTAGCGTTTTGGCGCTTTGGTGGAGCACATGGCACAGGGTAGAGAAACACAGTCAGGGGCGCCCAGGTCAACCGAACCCAACTCGTGTGTTGGATGTTGATCGCCCTCTAGGTCGTTGACCACGCTTGTCGCAACGTTTCTGAGGTTTCTCACAACACATTCGACCGGACTTCAAGGAACTGCATAAATCACAGAAGTTTGGCGAGACTGAGGTTGGCTGGTAGTTTCCAAGACGTCCCCGAGACCAAGGCACTCTCTGACGCTCACTGTAAAGACCATGCCAATGTTTTCCGAAGTGTTACCTCGTCTAGCCGGAGCATCGAGTTCGTAATAGACCGTCGTAGTTGAGGGTCAAACATAAAGTAGCAGACCACACGCACGTCGTACATCCTCGTCCTCGAGCATACAGCAGCTGCATCGTCAAGTCGTCTTTCATCTCTGTAGAATCTTCCTCAAGTGTGCACCTTGGCTGTCGCAGTCTGCCTCAAGAGGCATAAAGTCCAAGGGAGGACTCACACCCCTTGCTACCCTACCGTTCATGCTCGACTCGCTCATCCCATCGTCACTGGCTACTCCCTCTCTGTGGGCAAACCCGCCCGAGGAGTTTGTAGGTGCCCCGTTTATGCTACTGGAGGTGCTGCTGGCGCTTTTCTTGTGCTCGAATCTCAACACAATCATCTTGACAAGCGTCCAGTAACTATCGGCTGAAGTTTCGAACCCCATTTCGCTGACGTTGGCGCGAGTCAGCTTGGCACGGATATCATCCCACAGGGTCTTCCAGTTGGCCAGGGCAATCTTCATCGGTTCGTATACAACATGCGGTTCCGCAGCCAGCGAAGTGGCCGATATTCGATTGAGCGGGTTTCCAAAGAGATGCTGCCAACAGTGGGTATACAAAACTTGAAACTCAATTAGCGCCACGTCCAACGAAACTCCTCTGCAGCAAGGATTCGTGCAAGTCCATACCGTGGGTTAGGTAAAGCATATCCCAACAACACAAATTCTCGTTCTGATATGCCGCCTTGAGCTCGCTAGGATGGACGAACAGTTTCTGGAAAGCTTCGATCAACTTCATCCGCGGACGAGGAAATGAACCCTGCTGCAACATTTCTGCATAGCCTGACAACTCAAAATACTCGGGATGACATGGCAGCTGGAGGTCAACTTCGCAGTAATTGACGCGCGGAGGGACGTTATTGAAAATGCCCATGGCAGAGTCGAGGGCGAGAATCACATTCATCGTCCTAGGATTGAGTGGTCAGACACGAGAGCCGTCGCTAGACAACAATACAACACAGAAACATACCGAATGCGTGCCTCAATCCGCACCCATCGCTGAAAAGCAATGTCGTCCGGTATTGCAACAACGTTCGAATGCTGCGCTGATGGCAAGCCGAAATATCGACCGAGCTGAAGTCAAGTTAGCCATGAACAAGTGTGTGGGCAAAGCTGACTGACACTCAGCATTGAAGGAAACCTCTGCCTTCTGGCTCTTCTACGACCGGCTAGATTGCCTGAGAAGTACTGGACAATGACCACAAGATAGGCCCCTTGAAATAATTGAAAGTGATATTCCACGGCATCCTCGTCTGGTGCTTCCAAAACCCCCAATGTGCCAAAGAATTCGTCCCTTACCTCTGGCAGCGAGAAGACGTATGACTCGATAAGGTCCAGCAGACCCTTCATCCAAGCGACCTTTGTCGGTTCAGAGTACATAGCCCCAAGTGCGACACAGCCCAGCACAAGAGGTATAGGGGCAATCGTTGGCTGAAATGACGGGCGATGAATTATCGGACAGTGCCGGTAGTAGTTGTTGAAGAATAGATTGAGGCAGTGGTCTATTTCGACATGGGTGAGGAGTCCGATGTTTGTCTCCAAGTGCGCGAGCTGAGGACTGTCCGGATACTCGATTGCAAACTTGGTGGCTGCGCCCATCAACAACTGTCTAATCTCATAGGCGCGAGGCTCCAGCGTCAGAGCAGCAGCAGAAACAATACCCGTCCCACTAGTAATGTGTTGTAAGTCGGCGTTCGGGGGATACGAGCCAAAAGTCAGGCTCTCGAAGCCTCCGAAGAAAGAGTCAAAATTTACGACGTCCAAATCGGCCAGACTTGCACCGGTAAAGACGTCGTGGGATTCATAGTCCTCGCTCCAATGCGAAGCTTCGGACGAGTCCTCTGCATCGTTGACCGTCACATCGTCCTCGTCACCTTCACCGCCTGGAGGTGTGTCTCGAACCGGGAACCGGGGAGCCAGATCATCCCCATCAGGGGCGTTCAACAAATGATGGATGGGTATTGCATCCCGACTCTTAGGCCTGGCAGCCTCTTCTCTTCGTGAGTTGGATAACGCTGCACACACAGGTTAGCAGTTGTCCAACTTGGTGGCAGCCATGACCACTTACATCGGATGCATTCCTTCCCAAGTTCCTGGCAGCGAGTGCAGGGGGTTTCTTGATCACATTTCGTCCTCAGTTTCACGCAAGAAAGGCATGAAGACCTCTTCCGTCCCTTGGATTGCCCCTCAGGTACTGGCGCGGAGCCGCGCTCCTTGCATCGAAATTGATGAGCTCGAAGAACATCACTAATACAAACATTAAGAACCACCTCTTGGCTTTTGATTGACGACATGGGTATTACCTTCGCTTAAAGCACTTGGAACAGAAGTTGCAGGTAAAGGGTCTCTGTGCGACATCTGCACAAACAAAGTCAGCACACGCAAAGCAGACGAAGTTGGGGTTTGTAGAGCCACAGACGTTGCTGCTGATGGCGGAGCATGTGCGCCTTTCGCACAAAAGACTTGGAACACGACGGGCATTGAAACCGGTCCTGCCATTGACGGGTTTGATCCATCATTGAGACTGTCATCGGTAAGTGGGATTAGAACTGTCAACGCGGATTGGGGGCGTGCAACGGGGCCAATAGGCTGGCGGATTGCTGGGCGAAGATCGGTCGATATTCTCAATGCTAGACTTCGGCAACATAAATATCACACCCTCCACAGCGCGTACTGAAGCCGTCACAGCATGGCGATCACTTGTGGTCGCAGGGTGTGGTTCTCTAGAGGTATCGTATCGTCGGAGATCTGCCGATGACCTCAGTGGACAAGAATGGAGCGAGATGGGACGAGATTGACAAGATGGATGTACTTGTCCGTTGTCGGATCCTGTGGGCTCGGATGACCTGGTCAGGCGGACTTTTGCGTTGTAGCGATCCGGTGAGAATGGCACAGTGGTACAGGAGGTGGTGGTGGCATGCAGGCGGGTTTTTGATATAGTCGTCCAGGAGAAGTGACAACCAGCAGCCGAGGAGCTGGAGGGGGCAAGCAGCTGAGGAAGAGGACGGTAGTGATGATGACGATAATGGGTAGGGAACTCAACCTCGTGTCTGGGACGGGGTTTGATGGGTGGATCTGGCAGGTTAGTGAAGTAATAATCCATGGGGCGGGGAAGCGAAGAGAGAAGGATGAGGGAGAAGTCATGCGAGCGCAGTCTGGGTCGTCCATACAAAATGCACAGTCCTTGGTTTTGGCTTTTGCCTAAAGTTGCTCCCAGTACAAGTAGCTCGGTACAGACAGCCAGAGAAGGATGACAGGTGCCCGTCGGCCCCCCCAGGAGCCCCCATTGTCCAATGCCCAGTGTCTCTGAACATGTTTCTGCCACATGGTTCTAGGCTTCTTCCAGGTAAACCCGGGGCTAAGGGTTGCCTAAACGCTACACTTGCGCATGCCCAGCGCGTGGTTGCCGGGTTTGTGACCTTTACCCCATCTGCCTTGGCCAGCTGGCACGCATTCTCTCTTCTAATTGTATCCACCTAAATATCCGGGGGAAATAAGGACCGTCGAGCACATGTGCTGTCCATACGAGCACCTCGTATTACTCATTCGTGAACCACGATACTCTCATACTTGCAAATTTTTCAAGAACAACGCGGAGACTCTTCGCATACAGAGCCTCCGTGGGTGCCACCGTCGCCATCACTCGACAATATCGTCCCTCCGCCCTCCACCTCGTTCCCTGCGGTCTGTGGGATGAGAACTACGTTCGCTCCATGGGGCGATCTCTGAACCACCTCCCGCATCTGACTTGGCCGATGTTCTCGCTTCCTGAACTACTGAAAATGCACCCCGGACATGCTACCAATCCGAGATGCATTGTCTCCCTCTTCACGGGTCGGATGTTGTGGTGTCTCTCACCGCCATTGCGCCAAAGCGCAACCGCAATTTAGAGGATTCACAACTTGACGGAACCAATAACTTCCTTGTCCAGCCTCTGCGTGTTGACCATCTCCGGGACAATCTCAGTGATCCTAGTGGCTCCAGATAGGGCCATGTTGCCTTGGAGCTCTTCGCGCAGGATCTGGACCATTCTTGTAAACCCAGCTTCTCCATAACCACCGGTGAGGCTGAACAAGAAAGGTCGCCCCAGCCCGACTGCACGCACCCCCAAAGCAAGGGCCTTTAGGATATCGGTACCGCGCCGAATCTCCCCATCCAAGAAGACCTCCATTGGGCCACTGAGCAAATGTGGCGCATATCGTCGGATCTCTAGCAGAGTGACCATCGGCGCTTGTGCCCTGGACGCAACAATTAGGTTTCGTTCAAAGTGCGGAGACGAGACATGACTGACGTATCTTGGGATCGGCCTCCATGGTTGGACAAAACAATTCCTTCCACCCCGTTGTCGTACGCAAGTATGGCATCTTCGACACTCTGGATCCCCTTGAGAACAAGGGGGAGTTGGGTCACTTGACGGATCCATGCAATATCACCCCAGGTCAACGTCGGGTTCAGCAGGCCACTGGCAGCCGCTTTAGCCACCCCGGGCTTCTGTTCCTCGAGCGTGACATATTCGTCCTCGTCGCTGATCTGAAATCGTGTCAGAAGTGCCAGGCACGTTCTTTCACGCGCCGGCGGAGTGGTCTACCTACTTGAGCCTTTAATCGATCGTCACGTTCCCGCTTTCCAAGAACCGGCGAGTCCACCGTCAGCCAGATGGCACTTACGCCCAGTTTCTCGACACGACGGATCATCGCTTCGGTCTTCTGGTAGTCTCGATTGAAATATAGCTGGAAAAAAACAGGCTGACTCTGACTGGTCCGTGCGCGCATGATGGCCTCGATTGACATGCTGGGGCTCGTGGGTATTACCTGGATCAGACCTTCTTTCCCAGCTCCGGCAGCTAATGCGCATTCCGCGTCCGGATGCGCGAACCTCGCCAGCCCCGAAGGGGAAACATAGACGGGCAAGCTGGTATTGTGGCCAAGAATGGTGGTTCTGGTGTCGACATGATCCACGTTGCGAAGGACACGAGGACGCAGTGTCAGCTTGCGGAATGAACGAGCAGCTTCGTATCTGCTACGTTCATCGTCTGCTCCCGATGAATAGTAGGCCCATCCGGCAGGACTGAGGGATTGCTTTGCCACTGCTTCGAAGTCATTGACGCTGATCATGGACCTTAGGGGTGGAGATCGCCTTTGTTTCTGCTGTGGTCTTGGTTGTGATGTCGACTCTGTCTTTGACATCGTGTCCGGGTCGAGGAGCCCCCGAAATGCAGACGAGGGAAGAGTCTCTTCCAGCAACTCCGGACTGTGCACACTCTCGTACTCGGCCGTGGCATCCTGACCCGCAGTCTTTAAGAGAATCTGTGGCCCGCCGGGATGTTCGTCGAGAAAGTCTGCAGCACGGTGTGTTGATCTAGTGGCCCAAGACTGGCTCCGATGCACGCACCTGTGATGTCGTAGACTTTGCCGTATAGAGCGATCCAGCACGACTTGCGGTCATTGTGCCTGGCGACTTGGGAACTCTTTAGCTTCTTCATCCTCGCCTTGGAGGTTTCTGGGGTCGGTTATCGCGGCGAGTTGACGTGGCATGCGCTTGTCAAATTGTTAAGGGACTTGTAAGTACCCAGTTCGCTGCTCGCCTCTTTGGGAGCCGAGACAGGTCGGGTGTCACTACGAGGTACACAGGAGTCGGGCATTGAACCGATGCTGTATCTTTGTACCGAGGGAACCAGGGAACCGGGGAACCAGAGCACCCACTCGAGGGGGATTGGTGTCGATCCCCCCGCTGGTGCCGCCTTGTCGTGTGAATTACCCCAAGACCGAAGCTTGCTTCACCTGGAGAGGACCTATAAACGAGAATCATCTGTCCCTTGAAGAGGCTGACCTCCATCTGGCTTGCTGCCTTATCTCAACGAGCCACGATAGGCTATTAGCCATTGCAAGGTTAGAGTTGATGATGACATTCCTTGTGTCAGACAAAGAATGTTATTTTTGTATGTCACCGAGGATGCCCCATGCCAGGCATGCCTGGGTGCCAGGTAATAATGTACGGAGAATAACCTGACATAGCAAAAGTGTGGAGCAGCACCGCCTGTAGTGCCTGTACTTGGTAGGTACTCACGGGTACTGTACATAGTGGCAATAACGAACCCCCACGCTGACGACCCTGTCACCCCGTCTGACAACACCCACAGCACATACGCGCAATACCTAACCATGTTTTGAAAAAACTCGTCTCGCGGACAGAGAAAAAAAAAAGCGATAAGCCCCCCCGTATTCAAGACTAGTTTGTCTTCTGAAGGGCGTCAGTCTCGGCATCCTTGAGCCCAAGCCGCATTGGGTCAGTTTCACAACAATTGCGTCGGTTACCATCGAGAAGAGGTGGGTGTGTATGTATGTATACATACCTATCTATGGGAGGAAAATTTCGTCCCTCACTCGAGCTCTGACCTGACTGACCACGAGAGCAGAGAGCAGAGAGTGTCAAGGTCGACGACGACAACAACAACAACCCGCGTCGCATATAAGAGTCCGTGCCTAGTGCCAATACCTTTGACATGGCGCAGGCTCTCAATGTCATGCTCTATGGGCTGGGCGCGTACGTTCTTTGGTCGTTAGACTCGAGAGGCTTGACTGACTGGCGGCCAGGATCGGCTCATTCTACGCCTTTGTCTTGAGCCGCAGCCAGCGTGTCCGGCTGACCGTGGTGGCTCGTTCCAACTACGAGGCTGTCAAGCAACACGTACGTGCGACCTTTGCATAGTTGGCTATTTCGTTCCCGAAATTCGATCCGAACGAGGGGAGCGTCAAGGCTAATCACTGTTGATCGTAAATGTCCTACAGGGTCTACACATCAAAAGCGAGAATCACGGCGACCACATCGTCCATCCGGCCAAAGGTGAGCAAAAAATCCCCGACTCACCCGTGCTCCGGACGAGGAGAATGTATGGCACGCCGCTGACAAAGGAGTTGCAATTAATTGTCGGATTCAGTGGTTCGCACACCAGCCGAAGCAGGAGAAACGTACGACTACGTCGTGTGCGCGCACAAGGCCATCAACCAGGCCTCAGCCACCAAGCAACTGGCGCCCGCGGTCGACGGGAGCAAGACGTGCGTGGTCATTATCCAGAACGGCGTCGGGAACGAAGACCCTTTCCGGGAAGCGTTTCCCAAGAGCCCGATCTTGAGCTGCGTGGTACGTGATCTTCCTATCAAACCCCCCCCCCCCCCCCCCCCCTC